CCTGGCTTTCTGCGCCATCCTGCACCACCACCGCCCCCACCTGCTGTGAGTGCCCGCTGGGGCCGGGGCCGGGGCCGGGCCGGGGGGCGGTGCCAGGGCTCTGGGCTCTTCCCAGTGGACGCGGCGGGCACGGCTGTCCCTGCTGAGGGAGCCATGTGGGGCTCGTCGCCCACCCCCCTCAGCCGGCGTGGGGTGCTCCGGTCCCGTGCCCATCTCCTCCCACACAGCGGGGCTGGGGAGCTTCGGTGACCCGCGGGGTTACTGCGGTGCGGGCTGCCCCCAGCGCTAGTCGCTGTAGGTGACCCGCGCCATGGGGCAGGGGCCAGCCCTCCCTCACATGCAGAGCAGGGCACTGGGCCGTGACTGGAGCGCACTGGTGCTACTTGTCAGGCGAGTAGTAGATGAATACAAGAGGTCTCCGGCTTACTTACTGAAGAGCGCAGGAAGGCCTAGGAGGGGAACGGCAATTCTCCTGGCTAGAAATGACTTCACGTCGTACGGGACAGGATGTCTGTCCAGAACAATTGGACCTAAGTGACAGCAGCTTCTCCGAACAGGGCCACCTGCTATCCTGAAATGCTCGGTTGCGTGTAACCATCGGCTAACGCACCTGTGTCTCCTTTGGAAGTTATTGTGAGAGCGCTCTGTGCTTTCTCTGAATAAGATCCTTTTCTGGCGCTGTTTATAAGCAAGGTGGTTATGGAAAAAGCACCGGAAAATATGCAGAAGGATGAACCCGGCCTGCACAGGCCCAGGTGTGAGGGATGGACAGCTGCGACTCGGTAGGTGTCCTTCAGAGCTTCCTGTGCTTCCAAGCACATGTGTGTTTTTCCGCAAAGGAAAACTGCATGCTGTTTCTGGTGCTTCCTGGCCTGATTAAATGCCAGCAATAAGAAGAGCACATTGCTTGTTCCAGCGATCCTCTGATCTTGGATGAAGAAGTGCCAGGTGCAGGCTTAATTAGGACAGGGCTTCAATGAAAAGCCAGGGATGAGTGATGGTGACGGAGGGAGCCGGTCCCAGCAGTTTCATTCTGGGCAAATGCCTCGGAGCTTAGTTTTCTCTGTCTGTGCCGGGCTTGCCGGGGGCTCTAGGGTCGAGGGAGATGGATTGACAGGCAGATTTATGAGGGAGAAGGGTAACTTGGGAACAGTGTTGCTTGGGGTGATAGTGTCTTTGTGAGGAAATTACACAGGCAGCTGAGATAAGTCTGCTCCTCAACATAGCATACCCCACCCCTTCCTCCGAACGCCTTGTGATTCGGCCAGCTCGGAAATCCGTCTCCTGTCTGCTCCAGTCTCTACTGGGACTAGGGATGTGTCTGGGATTTATGGTCGCTCCCCTTGTCTTTAAATCATTCAGTTTAACTCATT